TCGCGACGCCCCGCGTCGCCACCGCCACCGGCGTCTCTTCCGCGGCCGGCGCACCGACGACCACGCGCGCGTCCATCGCGGCCACCAGTGCTACCTAGGGCAGCGGCAGCAGCAACAGCAGAAGCAGCAGCAGCAGCAGCAGCACCCGCTCACAGCAGTGCTCCGATGAGCACGGGCTTCCAGGTCGACCACGCGCGCTGCCGACAGCATCCAACGAGGCGCATTCGATCGCCGCGCTTGCGTTCGCCCGGGAAGAAAGTGGAACGTTACAATGACGAATTTGGAGAACGCTCTTTTTCTCTCTCCTTCTCTCGATCGCGTTTATCGCGTCGCGATGCGGATCATGATCTCGCGACTTGACAGGTTGACAGGTCCCAGTCTGTATATGAGCAAGCGATTTGCAATTCACTCTCTCCCGAAATAGGGGAAAGAATGTAAACGCGAACGTTGAATCTCACGCTAATTCTTCCCCGTGGTATAATCGTGTACAGCGCGATCAAAAGGCAATAATCCGTCACCCCGTTGCGCGCGAGAGCGACACCGACGCGTTTCGAACGATGGCGCGGTGCACATTGCGCGTCGCGCGGCGAATACGCGACCGTTCCTTTCGCGCTGTCCCCCCCCCCTCCCCCCCACCACTGCGGCGCCGCGCCGCGCGACACCGATGCTTCCTCCCTCCTTCCCTTCTTCTCCCACTGTCCCAAAAGCGTCGACGGCGCGCGACCCCGGAATCTTCGTCGAAGCGGTTGAAAAAAAAAAAAAAATGATCGGGAATCGCTTAACCCGTAATTCTAGTGTTAATTCCTATAGTTAGCTCCGTTATTGCCACATGTGAAATATGATTTTATTCACATGATAAATAAAACATGATAAATAAAACTAAGGATAGAAAACGTAAAATTTCCCTATACAACGCTTGTTCTTCTTAGAAGATAAATGAAAATTTAGAAAAAGTTGGTCTCACTACTTTAAATATGCGTTAATTACATCGTTATAAATTGTTAAATTCGTTAAAACGGCATTTATAAAATATTGATAAAAACAATTATTTTATTAAGGAAATGAAGAAATAGGTTAGGATTTAAATTTTTGCAATAAAATATATATAA